ATTCATTAACCATTTAAATTGCTTTGCAGCTCCTGACGCTGTGCATCTGCTGCGATTCCTTGTTCATCAAAGTGCTAACCGCTGTGCAGCTTGCTACCGCACCGCTCGATCCGGACGTGGAGATTCTGCCAAGTGCCAGCGCTGTTAGCAGCCAATTTATATTCCGGGTCCACAATAAGCTGATGAATGGACCAGCTGTGGCGCCAATCATCGGAGTCAATTCTCCAGCCGTTGCCGTTCCGCTAAACAGTATTTCAGCTGCGCATGCAAGTGTGCCTCTAGCAGCGCCCTTACCAATCCTGCGGCCCCCTATAATTCCTATAGCCCAACAAGCAACGTCTGTGGTCCCACTTCCAGCAACTTTATCTGCCCCCGCTATTATTCCTGCCACCTTAATCTTACATAAAACTCGCGGTTTTGGCCCAACTGCATTTGCATATGCACCTGCACGTTTGACACTCATCCCGGCTATCTCCGGCCGCTTGCGCTCCCGATTAGCTTACAGGCGTCGTCCATCTGCTATAGCTCTGCGCCGTTATCCTACCCAATCATATCAGCGATACAGTTAACTAACTCCAATAATTAATAGCTACGCTGCAATATACACGAGTCTATGAAACAGGCAAGAAGCTAACCAAAGTATTATTTAAAGACGGATTGGCTAGCTAATTCTGCTAACTCACATCTATTCTGTACCTAAATGATTAATCTTCTTATAGAGATATTAAAAGTATACTTAATTATTTTCGAATTCATCATCGCTTGGCTTGTATGAAGTGTTTGCAAATATATTTATTTAGCAAAAATTGTAGATCTTTGCATCGTATTATAAAGGCCTATCTACTTAAATGGTAAGCTCGAAATTTAATAAAAACATCACTTAAAATAATATTTATAATAAATAATAAAAATAAAATTTTCTATTGGATATTAGTTAAATAGTAATTGAGACGAGCCTCAAACCGTTGCCACCTGTATCAAATTTTGAAAACAAAAAGAATGCTACTCTACCATTAGTTAGGGATTAAGAGTTAATCTAAAATGCTTGAAAATTTATCTCGAAATATTAGTGATTAAAATTTTTTAAAGGAATACTTAGCCGTTTAAGCAATTCCAAGAGAAGTATGGATAATTAAATTGAAATCAAACTGTGAATCAAAATATCTCACTGTCTAGTATCAAGTCTAACGCCCAAAATAAAACTCAAGTCATTTTCTAATTCAAGACACTCGTGGATTTCAGTTATAAAATAAAAAAATTTAGAAAATAACGAAGGTACAATTAAATTAATACTCAATGCTGAAACGAGTTGGTGGTTACTTGAAGCATTTTTGATATTTAATTCCCTTCTCTATTTTATTTGCTAAAATTTGATTTAGTTTCAAGGATTTGAAATGCACACGCCGGAAATACACCAGCACAAACACGTGAATTTGCGTATACACACACACTTACATACATACTTGTACATGCACACAAATGCGCACGAGAGGCTGCGTGCGTGTAGTTGTGCCAGCACAGTAGTAGTTAGGCGAGCGGGAGTACATTTTTGATATGCCGGCTAGCAAAACAATGTTCCGTTCGTAAAGTTTGTTGCATTTCAGAATTTGACAGAACGGCTTGAAGCATCCAAGCAGCATACCGAAAATCCTTATTGTACTTTATTGTATGTATTTATAATTTTTCTACAATTCTATGTACTGCCATGTGCATACATACATACATACATATATACATAAAGATTTTAATATTGCAGGAATAAAAAATCATTTATAAAAGGGGTTGCTTGTGAAAGCAATTAAAACGTGTTGACTAAGTTGTGTAGAGCGCAGAAGCTTCTACAGTTGTAGTGGTTGCTCAAACACACTTACCCACACACACAAACACACATACGAACGCATATACATACATCAATGTGGGCAATGTGTATATCAAAAAAAATCGACATCCACTATTCATGCGTTCATCTGGTCTAAATTGAGTGACTTCCATAGTTCAGTGTATTGCAATGAATCATGGGCGCAGAATTCATTCTGCCGCGTAGCCATAAAAAGTATACGTGAAAATGTATTATATCGTATCCTGTATATCTCGTGCATAGACTTTCGAAGGCCGAACCATACATTTTTCGAGGAATCGCTTTTCGCAACCGCAAATATTCGAATTCTTCGCATTCAGCGCCGAATAATTCGCATATAGCAAGGACCAGAACTAAACATCTCATTTCGAACTTTCCATTGCCATAAATACGATTTCACAAATTCGATGGGCTTACAAGGATAACACTCAAGTGCCATAATTCGACGTTCAATTTATTGCTTACCTATTTCGTAGTTAGATTTCGAGTTTCAAATATTTACTGTTCGAATCCTCTAAGGATTTCAGGAGCGAAACTTGACTTCTTGTTTCGAAGGAAACAAGGGGTGCTACCAGAGAATGTTGTTTACAAATCAACTGAATCCGAATAAGGCCACATAGTAATAACAGCTTTCATCCTGGATTCCACTTGAATTTGGTCGAAAAAACTTTTGCCACTACACTGTCCACGACAAAATGGAACGTCAAGTTTGCCAGAATCAAATCAGATAAACACAAACTACTCTTCCTTCTTCAAAATCAGCATAAGCGGCGAATGATTCATTGAAGTACTATACTTGTATAAATCGAGAATATTACATTATATAATTACAAAGGATTAATTGACAAGCCACAGTCTACTTCTCTGTGGTAAGAATTCCTGTCGAATTAAAAGTGGTTCCAAACTAATACTCGTTGACCTATACTTACATATTTCTATGGCGCTTGTTTAGTCGCACTTTTACTCCTATTTATGGGAAGCGTTTCATAGCTTGTTAAATTGACAAAAACGTGATATGTAGAACTTATATTTTTAGACGCGTCAGATTGACTAATGGATCGTACAAGAAGTTCTGTCAATAGAAAAATTATCTTGGAGATTGGTTAATGTCTTCAATGGACGTACTTGACGACCGAAAGCAAATGTCTTTAATTTTTATACTCTTTCAACATGTTGCTACAGAGTAGAATAATTTTGTTCACCTAACGGTTGTTTGTATCACCTCAAACTAATCGAGTTAGATATAGGGATATATATATAAATGATCAGGATGAAGAAGCGAGTTGAAATCCGTCCATCCATCCCTTGATGCAAGTTGTAACTTGAGTAAAAATTGAGATATCTTTATGAGGCTTGGTACAAAAATGGTTGAAATCGGGTAATAACCCCGCCCAGTCTCTATATAACGGTTTTGGTTAAACTACTAAAAGTGCGATACCTCATTAAATAAACAAGTAGGATGGCACATATAAGCTTTATAGGAGCCAATAAAAAAATTGGAAAATGGGCGTGGCACCGCCCACCTTTAGGGGAAAACCCATATCCCGGGATCTACTCGACCGCTTTCAACCAAATTGATATTTCTATGTAACGGTGTGAAAATAGGAAAAATTGGACTACAACCACGCCTCCATCTTATATAAAACAATTTTATATTCCATCTGACTCCTTCACTTTCCGGTATACAAATCAAAAAGATATTAATATAACGAGATACTTTGCACGAATAATGCGTTTAAAGTATGCTACCTAATTACCGAAAATTGTCCAAATCTAACCAAAACTGTTCAAGCCCATAGGTACCGAATATGTGGGCACCAGTGCCTATAATTGACTTTCTTTGAAAATATCGGTCAATGTTTGAGATGTATAATTGAAGGATCATTTCCTGATACTAGTATGTCTGTATGTCAAAAATGGGTTTAATTGGGTCTCCATAAAGCTCATATAGAGATTTTCGAACTTCCGGGTGACTTTATACCGTATATATCGGCCAATATGTGAGTCAATGAAAATGAAAGAGCGTGTTTTCCTAATTACAGTGTATATTTGTGCCTAAAATGGATAAAATTGAGTGAAAACTTGACCTAGCCCCCATATAACTCATATCAAGGTTTTCGAAAATCCGGCTGACTTTACTCCATATGATAGGTATTGGTATGTGAAGTAAGTGAGTGATCTGTGACATGTTATTGGTATAGTGGTATTAGCAAAAATAGATACAATCAGGTCAATGCTACCCCCAAAACTTCCAAAAACTGCATATAACGTTCAATGCCCCTAATATACCCCATATAATGACTTCCGTCTTTCCATCTCACTTTAAACATTTTAGGTTGGTCAAAATGTGATATATTAATGAAATTAAATAAACAAGTTTTCTTAAAAATTGTGAATTAGAATATATACCTTGGTCTTAACCTCATATCCCTAATATTATGATTTCCGATTTTCCACATCAACTCAATATATATTAAATTTATACTCTTCGGTTGAGTTGATATACATATATCTCATTTGAAAATGTTTTTAATATAATTTTGGCTGACAAGGTCTAAAATATAGACGTAAAAGTAATACTAAGTTTATGGTCTTCAATATAAGTCAAGAAGATACCAAATTTGATTGTTATTTTTTCACAAATTTCATCGAATATTTCGATCTTGAAGATGCACTACGTCCTGCAAGGCTAATTTGGATAAAATATAGTCGTTGGTAGATGCAAATCATCGCATAAACACTCGAGAGATTGCTGAAAGCATTTAAATTAAAAAAATCGTGTTTAAATTCCACAAAAAAAACTAAATTACTTAGTGAACGACCCAATAATATTTTACTACATTTCATCTATACACACACACGCACTTATACGAATGTTTGTTAGCTGGTCTTCACAAATCCGCTACCGACGCTGCATACCAAAGTAGCGTCGTAGACACAGGTTTGGTTTTAGGGAAAACACAAAACGCTCGCTTAAAAAAAGACATTGGTATGTCTGTTTCGTTGCGTATGCGCTGAAGTTTTCTCAGGGACAAGCCCTCTTGCAATTGAGACCGTGGACTTGAGACCACAATTCTGTTTAGCCAATTTTGTTAGCTATAAAACACTTGAGCTCACCGTTATCAGATATCAAAAACATTCGCAAGCTCAACGTAAAGACATCTCAAGTAATCCGAAAAAACCACAATACCTTTAAAAATGTTCAAATACGTAAGTAATACCGTTGACTTAATTAGTGAATCATTAAAATAACAAAAATATATATCTGTGTAATTTTTCTAGGCCGTTGTAATCTTTGCTGCCATCGCCTGCGTTGCCGCTAAACCTCACATCCTTGCCGCTGCTCCTTTAGCCATCGCCGCGCCGGCGCCTATCATCACCGCCACCAGCAGTCAAGTTGTCGCACGTAACCACAATGGCATCGCTTTTGCTCCAGTAGTGGCTCCGGCCCCCGTCGCCCCAGTAGCTGCTGCTCCATTGGCCGCACCAATTGCCCCTCTTGCCGCTCCAGCACCTTTGATCGCACGCTACGCTACCGCCCCCGCACCACTTCTGGCCCGCTACGCTGCTGCTCCCTTCGCTTACCCCGGCCATTTGGCTTCGTACGCTTCCCCTGCTGCCTTCTCGTATGGCCCCGCGTACGCACCAACTCTGCGTTATGCCGCTGCCGCTCCTGCTCCAGTTGTGTGGTAAAAAAGAACAACCAACGAAATTCTAATGATAGACTGTGATAGTTTTTAAGCGATTAAAAAATACTACTGAAATATAAACGACTAACTGATAATTACTCGAAGTGGCTTCTTTAATCTTTACGACGTTATTCGGTAGTAATTTAAAAGAATTAACAAATAACAAAAGCTAATTAGCGTTCTAGGGGAACTTTCCTAAATACTCTTAGTTATACTATTTCCTTTATTTTTATCTTATTATATTCTGAAAGGAGTCTATGAAGTTTGCCAAAAAATTTGTAGCACCCAGTAGGAAACGTCGGATACCTCTTAAAATATATATATAACTGATCAGCGTGACAAGTTGAGTCGATTTATCCATGTCAGTCTGTCTGTTTGTATATACACGAATTAGTCAGAGTTTTTGATATATCGAAATTTTGCATACCTTTCTTTTCTCCCCTCTCTTTTTTTGTCAGAACCGCCAATATCGGATGATTATAGGATATGGCTGACATACAAATTGATCACTTAAACTCAAGTTCTTGTACGGAACACATCCCAGCAAGTCACGGCTACCGAAACTGCAATACATTGAAAGAATTAGCGCGGAAACTAACCCATACACACGAGGCAACTCATAAGGCCTTTGCAAAAAGAAGGGATGAAGGGGTAATTAACCGGTGATTTAACCGATAGGTGGCTTGCAGGGAAGATATCTTCACGAAATTTAGCATGTCTTATTGTCCAAGGCAACGCTACAATTTCGGAACATATTGTTCAGATCGGACTATTATAGTATTTACGTTTTCAAATTTAATTATACATATAGTTGCTAAAAGAAATGCACCTCTAAAGGATGTTATAGTTTGGGTGCAGCCTAAGTTAACATTTTTTCTTGTTTTCAATCTGCGTTATCACAGAGCACTGGTAATACGTCATAGTCAGTTGTTTCCTCAATTAAATTCTTCAATCAACAATTCCAAAATTAAGTTATTTACATATAAATCTCCACATTAAAAGATGGGAGTAGATTTCTGATATTCGCAACCCTTAAACCATGCCACAGATATAATTATGTTCTTTAGTGACAGTTCCCTGCAAGCCTGCTTTAATAAATGATTTGCAAACATTGAAACAGTGAAATATGGGAGATTGCCATTAATATTCCCAGAATTACGAACCTCGTTTCCATTTGCTGACAAAAGTGTAAAAACACATCTGGATAATTGTAGCACTCCAAAAACCAACAATAAGTACACTTATTTGTGTGAATTAGAGGAATGAGAATAATTTCGATGAGTAAAATTATTGCATAACGATCAGTTATGACTTAGATAAATCAATCAAACCTAGCCCTAGTTCTACTTCTAAATAGATTAGCTAAGCAGTAATGAAGATATCGAAGTAAAACCTGGCACGAATAGTAACCCTAATATAATATAATATGAGGCAGCCCTCATCTTAAAATAGTAAAAATTTGAGTGATATTTAAACAAAATTAAATGAACACCCTTTTCTGACGACAAAATGTTTCTGTGTAAAACATATGGAAAATCGGTTTAGACCCCTAGCTCTTATTTATCTAATAAGACAATTTTATGTCGTAAATATCGGATTATGATAATGAGACGGAAATTTCTTGTTGAGCATTTTTTAAATTAAAGGAATGTTCTGTATTAGACTCAATGTTGACTGTTATCAAAGCTATATGATATCGTATGTATGTATGTTAACATACATAAGTGAGTGATATGACCAAACCGAATAGCTTAATAATACTAAAATTAAATTATGAAACAATAACAAAGCTCACGTCTGAAAGGATGGAGTGATGATAGAGAAAGATCCAAAGGCTAAATTTTGCTTGTTGAAAAGAGTTTGATTTTGTGCTCAACCATAAGAAGTTCTTTTATATTAAGACTCCTTTATAAGCCGGTAGCAGAAAAATGCTTGTATACAATTTGAAGTTTGGACATTACAAGTACTCCAAAATTAAGCTGAAGTTTTAATACCTACAATGATAGATTAGAATGCAAAACCACTTCGAGTAATTATCAGTTAGTCGTTTATATTTCAGTAGTATTTTTCAATCGCTTAAAAACTATCACAGTCTATCTTTAGAATTTCGTTGGTTGTTCTTTTTTACCACACAACTGGAGCAGGAGCGGCAGCGGCATAACGCAGAGTTGGTGCGTACGCGGGGGCATACGAGAAGGCAGCAGGGGAAGCGTACGAAGCCAAATGGCCGGGGTAAGCGAAGGGAGCAGCAGCGTAGCGGGCCAGAAGTGGTGCGGGAGCGGTAGCGTAGCGTGCGATCAAAGGTGCTGGAGCGGCAAGAGGGGCAATTGGTGCGGCCAATGGAGCAGCAGCTACTGGGGCGACGGGGGCCGGAGCCACTACTGGAGCAAAAGCGATGCCATTGTGGTTACGTGCGACAACTTGACTGCTGGTGGCGGTGATGATAGGCGCCGGAGCGGCGATGGCCAAAGGAGCAGCGGCAAGGATGTGAGGTTTAGCGGCAGCGCAGGCGATGGCAGCAAAGATTACAACGGCCTAGAAAAGTTTCAAAGATAATTTTTTTGTTATTTTAATGATTCATTAATGTGCTAAAATTTAGTTATTTTAATAAGTCAACGGTATCACTTACGTATTTGAACATTTTGAAAGGGTTTTATGGTTTTTTTCGGACTACTTGAGATGTCTTCACGTTGAGCTTGCGAATGTTTTTGATATCTGATAATGGAATGCTCATGCTTTTTATAGCGAAGAAGGTATTGGAGGCAAGAGTGTGTTCTGCCGTGGCACTGCATTGCAAAAGGCTTGTCCATGAAAACCGTATGGTTAACACTCACACATGCAGATAAGTTTGAGTGTGTGTTTTTACGCTAGTTATTTGTTTCCCCAACTATTTCTGGTGCCCTTTCTATTTAATATGCAGCGCGGATAGCGTAAATATTTGTGCACAGTTACCATTAGCTGTTTTGTTAGTAGTACAACTACCAAAAATACCAAAAGCATGTTTTTCGACATTGACTTTGTAACGTGTGTATTAAACATTTTATTGGAATGCATTATTAAATAAGTTTTACTATACTATGAGGCTTCTGCGAAATTTTCCAAAAATTTTAAACAACCTAAAACGAGCAAGGCTGGAACGGAGCCGAACATTCGATAGTTTCGCAGTGAACTAAAAGTTTGACCCGGACAGGTTCTTATAAACTGTGCGCGCAAACCGAATGATAAAAAATATTTTCCTATTTTAGTACAACCTTTTATATATTTGTGTGAGGTCTGCTCAGCAGTTATTTGCTTAGGTGCATTTCCCAAAGCTGATTTTTTAGTTTGGAAAACAAAATATGATCCAGGAGCCAAGTCTGGAGAATACGGTGACAGAACAATGACTCTCATTTCGCGTTTAGCTAAAAAGTCAAAATGTGTTTTGACGATCCATTAGAGACCCCCTGTTATATTTCTAATGCCAATATGATGGCATTGAAGCACTGTTTCTTTAGCTATTTCTATGTTTTCGTCATTAAGAGAGGTTAGTGGAGGACTCGCATGAGGCAAGTCTCAATGACTTCACGACCTACACTGAATTCTTCGCGCCACTCAAATACTTCTGTTCGTGATAAAGTAGACTCCCCAAAACACTTCGGCAACATTTTCAACGATTCCGTGGCCGTGATTCTATGGGAAACAGAAAATTTCAAGCAATCTTGTTGTTGAATTGTTTATCATCATGGAAAAAATTACCAGACAAAACTTTGGCGTCGTGAACAAATCTGATCTTGAGGCAAATCAGTAACAAGTATATTCATCTTATTGGTCCTGTGTAAAGGCATGTGTATTGTATTGTAGCATCAAAACGTAATGTACAATAATTTGGTTGCGAAATAGAAAATAAATACCTGGGAAGATAAATATTGGGTTTAAGGCGCTTTGTTGAATATTATGTCTTATGAGCTTTAACTATAGGAATATTCTGGATTTAGAAAGACTATTCAGTGTGACCCCTATCTCGAAGTTCGGTCATAGAATTCAACCGGACATTACCTAAGCGCTCGACTCATTAACACTCTGCACACAATTAATTTATTTCTGCGGAAAGACAGTTACTCGCAAATCGATTCGGTGCTTGATTTGTTTTTGATATATGTATGTATGAATATACAGCCGCTATGTATACAAAACTATTATACGCCCCGTTAGTAGTATAACAGTACTATTTGAAAAAAATAACGCTCGACAGTTGAATTTAATTTAGATACTGTATATTTGTTCTTAATAAGTATGTATATTTGTCGTTACATGCTTTATGCTTTTTTCGATCTTCTTAGAACAAACAAAAGAAATACTGCCTTCGCTTGGACGCAGTCGCGTATCGTCGTCTTACACGTGAGTGAGTATGCATCAATTTCCATTCATATTGCCATGACTTAATTTCATATATAATCGGTATACATATTTGTAAGTATAGTAGTTTCACACATATATAGATATATTACAGTTATTATTAGTTATATATGTATATTGTTTATTTGCATGTATTGTTCGTTTTTTTTTTACCTCTGCTTTTTCCTTTTTGTTCATTACATAATATAAGTAATATTAATTAACTAAATTTACTTAATTTAAGAGCCTATGAGTGTTTTATGTACGTATGTAAGCATAATTTTGTTCGTAACTACTCGCCTATAATCATAATCGTAATCTTCATTTTAGTTTCTTATTAGCATAGCTCTAATTTTAATTATTTTTAATATTTTCCGAAGTAACATCGGCAATGTCGGTTGGATTGTGTGTGTTTTTCAGTAAGATTCAATATCTGCAAACACTTTGGTGAATTGTTTAAAGAAAATCTAAAATTTTTAACTTTTTTAATTAATTAATAAGTTGCTATTGTTATTGTTGTTGTGTTAGTTTAACAGTGCGCCAGTTTTTGTTCAATTCTTTTCGTTATGTACCGCGAGCTATATGCATGTATGTATGTATGTATACTAGTATTTATATATGTATGTATGTACGAGTAATTTACATTTAAGTTGCAATGATTTTAACTAGATTTCATTATTCATTATTTATTGTAGTTTTTCTAACTGAGTGATGTTTGGATACTTGGAACTATGGCTTTTCATCATATTCTCTTGTCGCTAGTTTATAATAGTATATGTATATGTAGGTATGTAATTGCATTAATTAATTTAGTTTTACGTTTCTCAACCTGATAACATTTCGTTTGCCGTTATAATGTTGTTGCATCAACACCTCGCCTCGGAGTATTTCACCTTTACATCGATTCTCACCAACGCACATCCACATGTGGGTATACCATATGTATGCATGTTTGTTTGTGTTAACTAAATATGTATATATGTACACATAGATATATAAAGATACATAAACATTGCTTATTTATTTAATTTGATTTCATTATCATTATATACACGCACACTCACGCCGCCAGAATTCTGAATACTTATTGCTATTAGCCAAATTAATAAAATAATAAGCATAATGAAAAAATAACACAGTTTAATTACAACCCAGATTATGAAAGCACAATCTGAAATGAAAGCAGCGCTCAGACTGAAATACATATGATTATTCTAGTATGCCACATAGAATTAGCAGCGACATGCGATGAGTACTTTTGTTTACAATTCGGTTGCATTATTTACAAACAATTGGTGAGTATAAATTAGGAAAACAAAAATCAACTACACATTGCCTCAAATGAATTCGCGAAACAGCAAAAGCTTGTAGGGGCAAGGAAGGACTGTCCGATAACTTTGCCGTCATAAAGCATATTTGGGCGTTACATTTATGTATATGAGTATGACTGATTACACATATTTGTAAATACAAGCATTAACCGCATATGCTCCTCCTATAGAATGTCATATTTGAGGCGGTACATAATCAAGTTTTTCATTAGAAAATTTAGGGAAACAATTTTACGTCGACACTTTTTCGTATTCCGCAGCAGAGTGCCTTTAAGGCTTTCGTATTGTTGTTGATGTTGTTGTTGGTGATGCCTTTGCGTGAGAAAATCGTTTTCTTTGCGCACAATCCCGTTACCATACACAGCATGGTCAGCAGCGGTCGCACAAAGTGCGGCCGAACTGTTCGATTGTTGTAGTTGCGTTTGAATTTGTTGTTGCTTTTGTTGTTCCTGCTGCTGCTGATAGTAGTAATCATTTAAATTGGTTATATAATAGTAATCATGATCGGCAATCACATTGATCTCTGCATAATTATCATCTTCGTCTTCCTCGTCGCTTTGTCGTTTCGTGGTAATGCCTTTAACACGATTCCGTTGCGCAGCTTCGTGGCAATCGCCTAGAACTTCAACGCTCAGAGGGTCACTAATATTTGCCGTTTGTTTTTGTTGTTTTGTTACAGGCTCAGTTCGGGCGTTCCTTGCAAACAATTGATCAAATCACATATTTTCGTCGAATTTGGCAAAGTTGAAGTCGTCGTCACATTGAAATCCGCTACCGTTGCCCGCACCTGGCTTACTCAACTGCTGTTCGTTGCTGTTGTTGTTATTATTGTTGGCTAATAGGCTTTCTCCGCCCGGTGCCTTGAAGAACTCATCGTCCTCGAAAGGATCCTCCGATTTTTTGCCGAAAATGTTAATGGATTCGGATTTCTTGATCAATTCTTGTCTCTGTTGCAGTTTGCTATTTCGCAGATTGTGTTTTTTTGCAGCGGTTGTCATGAGTGCTGCGCTGCTGGCGCTTTGCAATGAGTCCGCGTGCCATTGGTCCTCCTTTTCGAAATCGAATTGTGCATTCGAGAAGTCATCTTCGAAAGCAGCATCGTCGAATTGTGAAACTTTTACATTATCATCGAAACGTAATTTTTGTGTGATGATCGGGGGCATTACATGCGGGGCTGGCGATTGCGTACTGTCCAAATCCAACTGTTGTGAGCTGCTTACACTGGTGGAGTTTTGTGGGAAGCCATGCAGTTTTTCCCGTTCGGAAAAGTCATTCGAGAAGCGGAAGGACGATTTGGTTGCCGGTGTAACGCATGCGCTCGCTGTGGTGGCTGCGGGCGTAGAATTGCAACTGGACGCAGTGCCAGCGGGTGCCGGTGGGGGAGAGCTTTGGTTGAAGTCCGATTCAAAGCCACCATCAAAACTAAATTTCGTAGCACTTCCAGTGCTGCCACCAACACCAGTTGTGGCTATATAAGAGCTGGCGGCGCTTGCCATGCTTGCGCTGGCATTCGAACGCGATGTTGGAGATTGTTCATAATCGTCGAAATCATATTCGCCGCTCCTTGTGGGATATTTCTTTGTTGCAGCCGTCGGAGCACTGCATTTAAGGGAACTAATGGGCACTTTTCCCATAGAATGCTGTCTTCGTTCGCTCTCCAACATGCGTTGATGCATTTCATGGCGACGCCTATTCAAGCGTTCGAATTTATCCTCATCTGTTGGCGGCTCGTCATAATCCTCATCCGCATAGTCTTCCTCATCGTCGACATCGTCATCGTCATATGTTATATAATCGTAATTGTCACGAGGATGAGTTGTTGCGGCAACAGTGCCACTATATCGACTACTAGAATTGGACGGTGGTAGACCCGAAGCGCTATAAGGAATATCTTTGCCACGAGAGCGTTGCTTTTTGCGGAACCTGAAGAGAAGTAATGTAGTATAAAAAAAATCAGCGCTACAACTGCTCAAACCAACATTTGCCTGCGATCCTTTTCGCCATCAGAGCCGGAGGGTGTCTGTCCGAGTACGGCTACCCGTCTACTTTCGGCCAGTCGTCGTTCTGAGTCGGCAGCACTTGTGGGACGTTTCCAGGATTTTTGACCTGGTAACGGTGGCTCTTTAAGAGAAAACCCATTAAAAAGAGATTCACAGTAAAGAGGTTTATGTTCCTTACCTTCACCATCCCAAGGACTGGAACCGCTACTTTTACGTGCTCGTGGCTGTCCAGGTCCCATGCTCATATTGCTTCCCGTATTACCCGATATCAATTGGCTCGGACGCTGTAAACTGCGCGTATCTGGAACATTAATACTATTTCCACCGCTGCTCATGCGTGTGCGCTGATGAAAATCATTCTCCGAATCTTGCTCGTAGTCAATATCGCCTGTAGCCCGCAACTTCATACCCTTTCGCAGAGAACGTGTTTTCTCCGGTCCATAACGTTCACGAAATTCCTCGTGGCTTTCCATA